GCGCAAGGCAGTGGAGAATCAAGTCTGCTGATTTTATTTTTTTTATTGCCAGTAAGAACAACAGCTTTAAAAAAAATTCAAAAGACAGTAATGGCTGAACAGAACCTGGATCTTGAGGTTGCTGAACTTTCTAAAGGGAAATAGCTCCTCCTGTCTAATGCACTGTGTTCTTCTCTTTGCCATAAGGATCCTGGCTTCTGGCTTCAAAGGAAGCCATGAGACCTTGTTGTTCTGATGCTTCTGTCCTGATTGACTTACACAAATAGAGGCCCTGGCTATAGAGGAGCGTTAATTCTCCATTTTTTGTAATGCACTGTGAGATTCGCCTCGGCAGATCATGAAATGACATTCTGATATACATTCTGCACGGCTGTGCTCTCCTGTCACTATTTTGTCCCTCTGTCACACATTAATTGACATGGGCAGCCAGGGTGGGTAGCTGTAGCATTTGTCCTCCAAGCACAGTTCAGTGCACCAGATTTCTTCCCCCCAATAATTTTCATCTCTGTTTTGCCAAGAAGCAGACTTTGCCCGGACTCTGCTATGTGAGCAAGTCGTGGTCTGTGCCATACACGTGTAATACAGACTAGTTAGCATTCACTGAGTTGTACTTGCTTCTACCTGGCTTCCATTGTAAGAAATACGTCATTTGTTTTTTGACAGCTACCAGTTTCTTTTATTCCACCTTGATGTCCTCTGGTCTAGTTTCTTAGAAGTTATGGAGGGAAAGAGAAATCAGCCTAGACTACATGTGCCACAGAAAAGACCCTCCTCCATTGTGTGGCATGCCAGTTATATACTGAAGTGAAGATAAAATGTTCATCAGTCCCGCTCAGGAACACAAAAGGAACAGTTGCTTAAGGAGACAGACGTAGGCAAGTATAACTTATCCCTCCTGCAAGGTATAATTTGTGACTATTCTGAACACTGCACCCATTGTAAAGTCATGAAACAACTGTTGAAGTTTTGAAAGAATATATGCTAATCTCTGGTGTAACAGCTGAGAATTTAAGGGGTGAAATATGTGGCTATGGCTGATTTTAAAAGCCAATAATTCTCCTTTCATAGCATTGCTTTGCAAATCACGGGTGAAGGCACTTTTTGTCGGCGTGGTCCCACCACTGCCGCAAACAAAGTGTGGAGATGGGCAGGAAGTTTGTCACCCCTAACAGGAAACTGGTGATTAGATGGTCCCTAGCCTCTGCGTGGTGTGGGCGGTCTTCCCCATCTAGCCTTTCTGACTCTTCAGATGACCTGGATGCAAACACCAGTATTGCCCCTGAGCTGCTTCCCCTGACAGACAGTGGGACATGTCACTGTGCCAGCCTGCAGGCTGCCCAGGCTGACACTGGGGAGTATCACAACAGATAGGACAGTACGTGAGGCCTCCAGCAGATATAACCCCCCTGCGCACACCCGCACACACATGGCCCTTGCTGGATTGATGTGGCTGTGTACAAGTCCTAGTTTACATGTGCAAATAAAAGCCACGATAAAGATCCGGGCTTGCCTGGCACTGGGTACCTCAGCCTTCATCTCTGGTTGCAACTGAGGAAAAGCTGGTACAGCTCAGGGGTGTAGATGCAGGTGCAGAGACATACTGAGATTTAAAACTTTATTAGTGAATATTAAAAAGCATAGGTATTTACATGGCTTTGTAGATCTGGAAGAGAATATAGGACCCTGCACATGGCAGCTACATACCACATAGCTGGTGTATGTGGACACAAGCTAGAACAGGGGCGGGCAATTATTTTGGACGGAGGGCTGCTTACTGAATTTTGGCGAGCCATCGAGGGTCGCATGACAGGCCCCCAGGGGCAGATAAATATTAACTTTCTAAATTTTTTAGGGGCACTGAGGGCCGGATAGAATGGCTTGGTGGGCCGCATCTGGCCCGCGGGCCGCATTTTGCCTGCCCCTGTGCTAGAATATGCAACGAGTCATGCAGCCTGTGTTACATCTGTACATAGCCATGGCTCCCAGTGCCCCCATAAGCAGGGCATTCACACTGGGATTGCCCAAGCAAGCTGTAAATCCATTCTGGGGAAGGATTAAGCACCACTTGTTTTAGGGATGATATAATCCATTTTCCTCCTTACAGCTCTCTACATAGAAACTGGCCCAGTTGCTGTCTCTGCAATGTGCCCCATGGCCAAAGATAGCATCCTCCGCTGGAACAAATGCATTCCTTTCCCCCTCAAAAGCAATCGGTGGCTTATAAGGGCAAGCTCCTTAATGAAAACAACAACTTCCCCATTGCCCTTACGTGCCCTTTGATTAGAATTTGTCTGTTATGTAAAGCCACTGAAAGGTAACTGCACTTTCAAACACATTTTTAATTACGTTTCTTCCTTGAGAGAGTTTTTGATTTCTTGTTGGTTCCGCTGTTTGCAACCCAGCGTGTACGATACCGCCGCTACTTCACTTCATCAGCCGCTCGTCTCAGATTCTCTTTGTGATTATTATTGCTGTACAACAGGGACCGGCATGTAGCAAGGAGAGTGGTCACCGGGAATCAGGACTCCGGGGTTCTTCCTTCCCCCGCAGCTGTCTCGCCGACTGGGTGCATGACCACGGCAAACCTTATGTTACATTCGATTCTCCTGTTCACCTATTTGTGAAATGGGGAGAATTACAAAGGTTAATTAGCTCATGTTTAAAGAAGCACTTGGAGATGTTAAAAGCTCTTTCCTGTCAGTGCTAAATATTGCAGGTTGATATGAGCTTGCTGGAGGAGAGGCCCTGCACAGGTGTGCAGGACTGCTGTCATTTATTTTAGGAGGCAATTTTGAAAATAACAGCATTGAAAATTGGAAAATAATCAGGGGTGAATCACCAGGGCAAGGGGACGATTGGGCATAGGTTGCATTTCCATAAGGTGGGAGCATGGCTAAATGTTCTTTCCATTAGCCAGGCATTTGCTGTTTGTGTCGGGCACTAACAGCAGGAGGAAGCCGAAAGGGCTTCCTGCTATTTGGTGACAATAAATAAATACATGCATTCCCCTTTACATCCTTGTTACTCTGCTGCTGTAGAACCTTGTTTTCTTTCGGACGTGTGTTTTGGACACCTTTAAACCAGGTATTTCTCAAACCGTAACTGAGCACAAGAACTACATCCTAATAGACTGACCCGCCCGTGGTCCACTTCCTGTCTCGTCTGTAATTGCAGAAGATCACTCTGGCAAACAGCACTGATTGCCTTCAGGGAAAGGTGATAATAGGAAACTTTGGGTATTTTTAGCAGCATTTTTACCAGCATCATAAGATTTAGCCAGCCTCCAGCTGGCACTTTGCAAACTCTGATCTGGCCCATTTCGACCACCTTGGTCGCCAGCATTTGCTGCCCATAAGGATTTGGTGGTAAACCAGCTGCTGTTTTCTTATTCAACCACGTGTCTCCTTTCTCATGGGCTAAGGCTGTGAAAGCATTGCTTTCCCTTTTTGCAGAGTGATGGCATGTGAATGCTATTGTTGCCCAACATGGGCAGTCCTGACGAAGGCTTCTGTTACTTTTTCTGAACACATGCAAGGCAGCTCAACAAGTGGGCAATAGCAAAATATGCACTAATTATTAGACCCACACCAACATGAACGCACTATTATTACAGCTGAGAAGACGAGCACTCGGCATCTATGGATTGCAGAGTTAAAGCCTGAAAGCTCAGCCTTTGCTCTGCCTTCTTATGCCTGCTCCTGACGATAATAGTTAATACTGAACATCTCCACCTTGCAGCTATTTTAAATCCAGAAAAGACTGTTCAATCTCTTAACTTGTCCACTGTAACTGAACCCATAGCATGTCATCCTGTCGCTCTTGTACCGAGCAATATGTTTGCCTAAAATATATTATCCAGAAAGGCGCTCAGTCATGAGTCAAAGAAGCATAAAAGTACAGAATCCTGTTCCATTGGTTAATCATCCCCACTGTTAAAATTCGTGTCTAATTTCTCATTTCAATTTGCCTGGCTGTAACTTTCAGTAATTAGTACCTGTCATGTCTTTCTCTGCTAGATTGAAAAAGGCCTCTAGTATCCTGTGCTTTCTTTCCATGAAAGCATAGATATGCTGTAACGATGTCGATTCACAGTCTTCTTAAACTAAACAGATCAAGCTCTTCAATATTCCTACAACGTCATTATTTCCAGCCTTCAAATACTTTTCCTAGCTTTTGCTTATGTTCTCTCCATTTTTTTAGGATCATTTTTACAATGTGGATACCATGTATAGAGGTAGTCTGCCGACTGTCCCCCTACTTTCCCTATGGCATCTAAGCATTGCTGTAGCCTTTTTGCACCAGCATCACCCTGGGAGCACATGTTCAGTTGCTTGTTCTTTCTGACCCCTTAATATTTTTGGCATCATTGATGTCATGGATACAATTTCCCGGTCTCTATGCATGACCTACAGTTTAAGTTCCTAGATGCATGACCATGTGTTTGATTGTATTTAAATTAGTTTTGTTGGAACGGGTCCAGATCGCTCCGGATGGCTGCTCTGACTTCGGTGTTCTTTGCCGTTTTAACTTGAGTGAAATCAGGTTTTCTGGGTTTAGTCGCTTCTTTGCATCAGGCTAACTGAGATCTCATTGCACTGCTTGAACCTGCGTGTTAATCAAAATGGTTCCATCAGGGTGGCTTGAACACTTTGTGAAAATCCACCTGTTATATAGCATCTACAAATGACACACATCGAAGTGCACATAATCACACAGAACTTTTTTGGGGGGTGCAAGCTCTGTCCTAGTTCAATCGGATGTAGGTAATTTCAGCCTGACTGTTTCCAGCAATTTTAGTTGGGCTCGGTATTATTTACTTCTTGGTCTATCCTGCAGTGATTCTATTCCGCCTGCGAACCGGATTCATTTCAATGGTAGGTGAAAAGATCCCTGAATGTAGTTTGTATTTCACTTTAGGCTGGTCAAGCCCTGTTGGATCCTTTAAAGGTAAGATAGAGGGATTTTTCTGTTGTCCTGATCTTCCTTTTCTTCTCCCACAGTTTATGAGGTAGTGACTGTGACGGGAGATGTGCGGGGAGCAGGAACCGATGCTAATGTCTTTGTTACTCTCTTTGGAGAGTTAGGGATTACTCCGAAGACCCATCTCACCAGCAAGTGAGTACCAGAGGGAATTTAATAATCCTAAAGCTGAGCTGCATAATTACGTTGCCCTTTTGTTGAAATCATACAATGTTTTGCCAACAGATTCAGGTAGAACAAGGCCAAAGGCGTGCAGGCGCTGTAAGGGAAATGCTGGCTTATGCTATGAGAATAGAGACCATCCTATTTATCAGGTGTACCGCACATTAGCCCCGCATCCTCCCGGAGTGCCACTCCAATCCCTTTCTTCTGCTTGATTTGCTGCTTTGCTTTCTGTTCCCTGCTCTGTGCACCCTGCCCAAAATCCAGCTCTGCTTTCTGTTTCTTGTCCTGTGCTCCCTGCCTGATCTCCTGCTCTGCCATCCTGCCCTGTCTGCTGCTGTGCTGCACATCCCTTCCCTGATCTGCGCCATGCTGCGCACCGAGGCGCTCATGCCACAGGTTGGCCACCCCTATGATATATGAGAGATTCCTGGCTCTAGTGCCCTACAAACCTACATGGCTCTAGTGCCCTACAAACCAACATGTGTAAAGTTGTGCTGTAAGCCCCATGTGAACTCTCAGCTGTCACCTATGCTCCTAAGAAATGAAAGTGCTCAATCAGTTGTACCCATTACCAAGCAGGTTTGGGCACTGTCTGTGGGCAGTGCCTACAGCTCTTTCACACGCAGATCTGAACAGCCTCCCTTGGCTAGTAAGATATATGCCCTGGCCCTTTCACTACAGTATAAGAATTAATGAAGCCAACATTAGGCTAAAGTTAGCCTTCTGGCTTTGTGTTTAGATACCCGAGCATCAGTGGCCTAATTTTCAGAGATGTTAACCATCCCCCTAGAGTTGCAGACTAATGACCAGGAATTTGAAGCACCTACAGTCATAAAAGGTCTATGTTCTGGGTGCAGGGATGACAGCAGGGACTGGGCCAGCAGTGACAGTGGTCACCATTTGTGTATCCAGGGCTAGTTCCATGGTCACCCACCACTAATTACACTACTGGGTACCCAGCACCCTCGGACAAGGAGCCACTTTTATTTAGGTGCCTAAACATGGATAAAGGAGCCTAATTTTACCCACAAAAGTAAAAATATGTTGTCCTGCACATTTTAAAAATGATGGCCCCAAACATGTCTATACAGGCAGGAATGCAAATACTGAACACCAGGCTGAGTTATAAAGGCAAGTTATTTTGAATGACTGCAAACTGAGACTTAATGGTTCAGGAAAGTATGGGCCAGACCATCAATGGAGCCAGTTTATATCAGCTGAGATTTTGGCCTTGTGTCAAAAGGGTTTCTAAAGATGGCTAGTTCTTCGTTTAAAAAATCTGCTTGTTTCTCTTTCTGAGGACTGGCACCAGTCTGGGGAAGGCTGGGAGACATTGTTGAGGAGGTACTAAGAAAAATCAAGGGATGCATCACAGGGCTTCAGATGCCACAACAGGCTGTTATCTTGCAGTAAAAAAGTATATGCATTTCTCCTTATGGCACAGGAAGAAAAGAAAAAGCGGCCAACTTGTAGCAATGACATTTTATTTTAAATATGTGCTGCTTTCCCTCAGCCTGCCTTGCATCTTACTGGCTCTTTTTCTGAGAGGAGAAAGAAACCTTGTGTTAGAGGAAATCCAGGGATAGCCTATTGGTTTTGAAAATATCTTCGATTTGCATAAGAAAAGAAGGCCGGGCTTGAAAGATGTGTGTTGCCAATGACGGCCTGTGCATTACAGAACTACTAGGCATATTCTTGGTTTTCCACATGCAGATGCACATGGTGTCACAGGCAAAATTGCTCCCAACAGTGTAGAGATTATTTATACAATAAAAAAGAAAATAAAGAAACCATCCTATTACTAGTAGTAGTTATTTGCATTGCTCAATCTCTCCAATTTGACATTAAAGCTCCATTTCTTCTGGATGTTGAACAAGTATTACAGGCACTATCTTGGACGTTTATACACGTGCTCTGGGAGTGGGCGGAGGCACTTTAATTAGAGCAGCTTTGAGAGCTGCTCTAATTAAAGCACCTAGAACGTCTCATGTATCAGCATCCCTGTGCTTAAAAACGGTGGCAGGGTCACTTTAACTGCAGCTCATTTGACGAGCTTTAGTTAAAGCACCCCTGCCGCCATTTTTAAGCGTGGGGTTACTGATACACAAGGCGCTGGAGGCTGCTGGAGCATGGTACTTATCATGCTTCAGCAGACTGGATTAATCGAGCCTGCTCCATTGCGCTGGAATTGCAGTGCATCAGAGCAACCCTGCTGCTTTTGTATAGGCGCCCCTTAATTAAAGCCAGGGCCTGAATGTGGCCTCTCCAAGCTAAAAGCACGAGTGGCTACAGCTTGAGCTGAAGAACTGAGGTTCTTTAAGTGGAGCTGTAACAGATCTGTCTCCTTCACAGAGTGGGGGACCAGCGAGCGACACAGGAGTGTAGTGAGTGACAGACCTGTCCCTGAAGAGCTCATACTCTATAAAGAGATCAAATAAGTGGCAGGGGAGTAAAAGAAGCACAGGCCACGTCTACATGAGATGCTGACTGTTCTGTATGTAGTTCATTACTACTGCGCAGTAGCGCTGCATGGCACGAAGCGTGATGCGATGCTACTGCACAGTAGTAATGAGTTACTGCAGTCAGCATCACCAAAATGCCGTTCGGCGAAGCTAGTGTGCGGTGACTCTGGTTACCGTGCAGTGATTTAGTACTTGTGTATAAAAGTACTAGATGACTGTGCAGTCAGCGTCTCATGTAGGTGCGGCCACAGAGGCATAAACCGACCTGCCCAGACCTTCTGTCCTCCAGGCTAGAGCAAGGCCTTGGTAGAAAACAAGAGAAGGTCCCCCTCACCCCGGGAATCTGTCAGCGCCTCCATCTCTTGTTGTGCTTGTGGTGTTTAAATGTTATTGAAAACGTGCTTCAGAAGATATTAACCCTCTGTTAATGTCATACGGTAACTTCACATTTTCTCCGTTTCTACAGCACCGACAGGAGGTACCTGCAACTATTTTAAATTTTACCCTCAAAAGAGCTTCTCTTCCCAGTGAAGCAACTCAAACATGAGCCTCTGTAAAGAAAATGATATGGGAATGGTAAAGAAAATACATGAAATTTCAGACCTGTTTGCCATATTGGATATCCTAAAATCAGAGCTGGCCCTGAGGATTTTTAGTATTGCAACCATCATCACCGACAGCGGTGAGAACTTGCTGCTTATGCATTTATATCAGACAAAACAAACCAACCCCCCCAATTATGTAGCACTTTTATCCACAGACCTCCAAGTACTTCAGTCATTAGGGATCACCTCCCCAGTTTACACACAGAGAAACTGAGGCACAGGGTAGCAATGTGACTTTTTTTACCAAGATCACACGGCAGATCAGTAGTAGATCTGGAAATATAACTCATGTCTCCCTATTCCAGTCTAAAGCTTTGGCCACTAAGTGCCACTGCTTTAACAGAGCTTCACTCCTATCTGCCTATAATAACTACAAGGCCGTTAAAGGTTTTTCATTTCAATGGTTTTTAGTTCTGGTCAGCATTTAAGTGAAAAAGTCCTTGAGAGGCACCCGAGCATTGTCCTACTGGTGACCTTAGCAAAAATAACCCCCCCTTTTTTTTTTAAATGCTGCATCCCTTTTTGAGATGAAATCAGGATATCCCGGTGACTGTTTGTGGCTATTTGTTAATCAGCTGTGATCATAGCTGATTTACAAGTTGCATAGGTCCTCTTTGCGGACACTCTTGTTAATTATTTTTTCCTTCCAGCCACATGAGCACTGTTTCTTGGAAAAAAAAAGAACACAGTAGCTTATCACAGCAGCAGAAGAAACTTATACAAGCATTTTACTGGTTGCTGTTTTCAGCCTTGTCCTTGCTATTGAGGAAAGCAGAGGGCTAATCTGGTTGGGAAAGGGAATGTGAATTATAGCAAACAAGTGCCTTGTGCAATTGGAGGTTTTTAGACTCTGGCGTCCTGAGACTTGACCATTTCTATCCAGATAATTTTCCACTCATAGTTTCTGAAGCATCAGCTAAAATTTCAGCATCTGTAAGCAAATGCTTACAGCACAGTGGGTAGTTTATCAAACAAATACAAGAGAGCGCTATTCAGTACACAGGTTATTGTCCTGTTGTTTAATTGACTGATCTTTTTTTTTCCCTCCTGACTATGAAGCCAACCAGAGAATACGTGGCCTGTCTCCAAATTTGTTATGCAGCTTTGTGAATATGGCAAAAGGATGGAATCTCATGCATCTTCCAACTAAATGTGTATATAGAGTTCGCCAGTGAAATGACTGCAAATGCATGACATTTTATAGGTATTTGCTTCATGGCATATGATAAGAAGATAAAATACCATGCATTTCCTAAAGAAGGTACTACCATTTCAGCTTCTGTTTAGAACAGGTGTTTTTTTTTTTTTTCTCCTTTTGTGATTGTGTGCTGGTAGTGAAATACATGACATTTCAGAACTTTTTGTCATGTACAATTATGACAAGGCATGACAAGCTGATGAAATACCATGTGTTTTTAACATTTGCCTGGCAGTAAAGGCAATTGTAAAAACACACATGAATTTTCATACTGTCTTGTCATAAGAAACATGAATTCTGGAAACTGAAGCCTGCCAAGTCTAGTGAAGGGATCTCTTATTTAACCCAGGGATAATCAAGCAGCATCTGCTGTCCTCCATGCATTGGGCTGACTTCTCCTTTGTCTTTTCTGCCAGCCCAAAGCATTAGTCAATCTGGTGGATCTGGGCACTGGGGAAGCCCACCGGCCTATACCGAATTCCAGGCAGCTTGGAGTCAATATAACAGCTCTGAGACCAACAGCCCAAAGCTTCAGCATAAAATAAGTTGTAGCTGGTGTTATGGCAGAGCAGTGGTAGGTAGCTGAAAGGAGGCTGGAGCACCCATAGCCACCTGGCCATTCCCAAATGCAAGGACTCTCACAAGGCCACCCATTGAGGAACTGCACGGGGTGTGGCACAGCCAAGGAGTAAGGCCAAGAGTTAT